CCCCAAAAATCAATGAAAAAATGGTTGATTCTTTGAAAAGTAAACAAAATTAACAAACTTTTAGATTGATTAAACAAACTATAGGGGCCAGGGATTTAGCTGAGTGGTTCCACTGCCTGCCTCACAAGCACAAGGACCACAGTTCTATCCCTGGTACCAAGAAAAGTCTATAAACCAGAAAACCACAAAATAAAACTAAAGATGAAAAAGACAATGAAACTGATACCACAGAAATACAAAGAATCAATAGGGATTATTATGAAAAAGTACATGTTAAAAAAAACCTGAAAAACCTAGCAGAAACAGACATAGAGTAGACCAATAATAGGTAATGAGATTAAATGAGCAAATGAAAATTTCCCAACAAAGGAAAGCTCAGAAACAGCTGCAATGCTGAATCTTACCTAGCTTACTCATCTATTTACCTATTTATTAGAGATGGGATCTCACTGTGCTGCCTAGTCTGGCCTCAAATTCATAATCCCCTGGCCAGCCTCTGGAGTAGCTGAAATTACAAGCACATTCCACTTCCCACAGCTTATTAAACTTTTAAAGAATAATTAATGACAATATATCTTGAACTAGTTCATGAAACTGAAAGCAGGGAAACCCTTTCAAACTCATTCTATGATGCTAGCATTACTTTCTTACCAAAACTAGACAAATACATAGTAACAACAGGTGGAGGAGTGCTGTTTAGCTCAGTGGCAGGCACAAGTTCCTGAGTTCCTGAGTTTGATCCCAGGTACCAAAAAATAAAAGAATAAAATAAAACAAAACAAAACAACACAATACCAATAACAACAAACTATAGACCAATACACTGATGAACACAGATCCAAAAACAATGTTGAATTTGTTCCAGGGATGCAAGGATGGTTCAACATATATAAATCAAATGATCATCTCAATAGATGCAAAACAAGAGCATTTTATAGAATTCAACATTCTTCAAAAAACTACTGAGCAAATTCGGTATAGAAGGATCATACCTCAACATAAAAAAGACTGTATGTGGTAAACCCATCGTCAACACCCCACTAACATTTGGAAAAAGGGCATCCTCACTACTTTTATTTAATACAAGTAAGACATTTTAGCCAGAGCAATCAGGCAAGACACAAAAATAAAAGACATATAATTAGAAAGGGGTAAAGTCTATGATATGATTCTGTATCTAGGAAACCTAAAGTTTCCACCAAAAGATTATTAGAATCCATAAATTTTGTAAAGTAGGATAAAAAAATTAGCATACAAAGATAACCCACTTTTCTATACACCAATAATAAATTTGCTGAAAAAAATCTCATAAGCGATCCCACTCACAAAAACCTAGGAATAATACAGTAAATCTATTCTTTTTTTTTTTTTTTTTTTTTTTTTTTTTTTTTTTTTTTTTTTTTTTT